TGAAGGTTCTCCTTTAGGTTCTCCCTGTACTAGCATTCCCCAAGCCTGCTGCACATATAGTATTACATTTTACTCAATTCCTCTAGTAACACTAACTCAGCAATTATTCTTAATTTGGGTTGGATTTTTTTGCTTTGAAGTTGCTTTACATTATTTTAGACCTGAAAATTTGTGTTTCTTTCAATTAGTTGGCCTGAAAGATCTTGTCTCACATAAATCTTTCATGTTCTTCATACTTGTCACTTCTAAGACATGCCTGTCATATTTTTTCATGTAGATAAAATTGTTATCAGGGGATATTATAATTTTCTGTCTGCTGGTAGATGGCTGCCAGTCTACCTCAGAATCGTTTTCAGTTTCCTCATTTATGTTCCCCTTTGCAGCAGTGCTTGTGGAAATACCAGAGGGCAGGTCTCTCTGCTGTGTCAGGCCCATTGCTCAAATCTTCCCCAGGCAGCTTGCTTCCTTGTCATTCATCAGTCTGGATTCATCTGTTCTCTTGTGGCTTCTACTTAGCCCTTACTTGTGCCAGCAGTTTTGAAAAATTTTGTAGAAAGAGATTCATGGCTTAGGAAGGTGAATTCAACAACAACAAAAACAATTAATAATAAACGACCCTGCAATTTTGCAGCATCAGCCAGTGCTTTTTGATTTGCTGGTTATTTGTTTTGAAATTTGAACAAATATAAACTGTTGCAGCTACTACTTAGGTCTGGAACAAAGGCACACAAGGTCTTGTTCTCACAGCAAGCAGTTGAGTCAGTGCCATGAGCAGCAATACCCCTTCTGTGTTTCTTTTCCTCAGTTCATGTCGAACCACCAGGAGTTAAAATAACTTTCACTGCCTGTAATTAATTTGATTCATATTTCTCTCCCTGTAAGTATGCTATTTTATATGCGTGTTTTGTACAAGCATTTAGAGTACGTGACTGAAGCAGTACAGTGAAAACATCAAAATCGTGTAGTTGGACAAGCATTTAATGCCAGTGTAGCTCTTCATTGTGTACTGAATACAAATCAGTTGTTCCAAGAAAAGAGCAGAACTAACCAGTTTACAGAATTACGTGACTTTAAAGGCTTCCCTTCTGATTATTTCTTGCCAGTGCTGCTGTTGACCTGTTCCTTTTTGAAAAATACCCGTCACTAAGCAAAGAGTGGTGTCTGCCTGCAGTCTCTGCTGTGAGTGGTGGTGGTGGTGGGACACGGTTGTGTCACGGCAGGGATGCAGCTCCCTCAGGCTTATGCAGAAGTGCTGGAAAGTGATACGGAGAAAATTCTCTCATGTAGATACCATCGCTCTGGATACATGCCGAGGTTCCCTGCAGAAGACGGATGTGTTGAAATGTTTGAACACAGACACTACTTTGGAGAATTTCAGTATTTGAGCTGACAGCCATAACTGCTGTGAACCTCAGAGTAGAGAGGAAGAAGTGTAAACACAGTCCAAGGGTCATGTGTTGAGAATATAAGTTCAAAAACATTGTTCTGCACTGTAGTTTTCTAGTTGGGGCTTTGCTGGGTTTTTTTGTTTGTATTTTTTTTGACAGGACCAGAGACTTTTGGATGAGTACGCTGGCATGTTTACTTCTCTCAAACTTTAGTAATTTCTTTTTACCATGCTAATTTCCAGAATATAATGTATTTCAGTGTGTATTTTGCTTCTAGAGCTACCTACCTAGTAACTTAGTTTCTTTTCTGTTGTATTTTCATGTCTGTAACATGAAGTACATTTAAGGTAACAGTATAGTTGTTTTATCCTGATACTAGTCTTCTCTGTTGTTGAAATGAAGTTGGTAATTGTGGCTAATAACAACTTGAAGAAACTTGTCTTTATAATAAGTATTCTACATGGGTTGTAAAGGAACAAATTAGAAAAGGAGAAGTGTAAGGTCTAGTTCTGAGACATAGCCATTATAATTGAAATCCAAATACATTAAAATAAAAGGTCTTTGAGTAGATTTAGAACTTCTCACCAGTGCTTCTCAGCTGTGCTTGTGACAGGAGCCATTTCCAGCACAAATTGCTTTGCTGTAGTCACACAGAAATTAGAATGTCAGAATATATGCATCAATGTCTGCTAGTTTGGAACACAGGCTTACCCATTCACTGACCATAAAATGTGGGGCATTTAGGAAAGCCAAGAAAGAAAATTAAGTATTCTCATGTGCATTGTGTGAGAGTGCTGGTAAAAGTAAGGTTCTGCTGGCTAAACGAGGCATACTGTATTGTTTGAGATCTTGGATGGCTTAAAAGAAATAAAAAATGACTGCATGAAATTGAACCTGGATGTGACTACTACTGATTGGGAATAGTGAATGATTAAAGATGAAGCTAAGGGTTATCTGTTCCTTCTAGTGAAAACCAAGAATTAAATTCTCTGAAGTGTTGTAGAAACCAGGAAATGTGACTGACTTCTTCCAGAACCCAAAGATCAGCAAGATCATCTTAGTGCAAGGATCATGTGTGGCTGACTAACCTGGAACTTTGGTTTCCACAGTTTTTGGTTACCAGCCTTTCTGGCCAGAGCCACAGAATGTTGATGCACCTTAGATTGTATAGAGGGGAGCTGTGAGTTTTGGCATAGCTTGGACAACTCCGTGTGTGTCAGACCACACATAATTTGCAACGCTGGCTCCCAGTCAGTTTTTAGTATAGGCTAAAGCTTTTGTCTTGGTCTTCAAAGCAACTGTTGGATCAAACACCCTAGCAACATCAAAGGCTGTATTTCATTTTTGAACTGCCAGAATAGCTGTATTCCTCTGGAACAATGTAGATGATGAAATATCAGAACAATCATTCGTCAGCTGGGGACAGTGTTGGGTTGGGCTACAGGCTAAGAAAAAAACCCAAACCTGCGAGGTGATCAGGTGAATCCAGAGTAAGACATTTTAAAGAAAATGCTATAAAACCCCTCTGTATATATAAATGGCTTCCATCATGAACATGGTGCAAAAACAACTTCTGTTTTCATATAAAAAATAATTGTCAAAAAAAGAAGAAAATGAAGAAAATTTGAAATGCTGTCAAATCTTACAAGATATTTTATTTTTAAATATCCTCTTGTATGAGACATAATATGCTAAACTTTTAGAAGTTGTGTACCTGTGTTGGGTACCCTCCTAGCAGTATTTAGAACTTCCCTTTTCTTGGCATTACAATCACAGGCACCACTTATTGGGAGAGGCCATAGTAGCAAAAACTAAAGGGTGGCATAGCTCAAAAATGACTGAGCACTGTGTGTGATGGACTCAAATGAAGTGTGGTCAAATTCTAAACAAACCTTAAGAGTTTTGTTTCCAGCTAATTGGAAATATTCTCCCACTGTGCTTTGTAAAGTACTGTGGACTGAACTGATAGTGCCTAAGCAATTATTTCTCCTATCTCAACCTGGTTGCTAGAAACTGATAGATTGCTTAAAGGGTTGAACATCAAAAGTGCAACTCTAGACAGTTTAATTGGAGGGAAAAAAAACCCTTAATAAATTAGATATGAATTAAATACCATGATAAACACGCATTTTAGAAGTGAAATCTTGGTAAATAACAAAATTTTTCTATGTACAGGTTTTCGTAGTGGCTTTTTCAGTTCTCCATTTTTTTCCTTCTGATGATAGATAGTTAAAAAAATAACCACCTGAGTGCCTATTGCCTGATAGAAATGAGACATCATTCGAGTCCCTTGGGTGTCTGAGGTACATAAGTTTCTTCATTTTTAAGTTTCTTTTAGCCTGCCTAACTCATTTACCTGAGCTCCATCAGCCATCCAGGCCTCTTTAGGAGGAGAGGAAGTTGTCATTACATCTTGTAACAAAGACAGAAGTTGAATTGGAGGTATTCTGTTGATAAGCATGGCAAAAGCTCTAGAGGAGCTTGTGTCAGGGGGTGTATATTTTCAAAATGACTGCAGTAAGGTCAAATGTGATTGTTGACTTGGTACAATGTGGAATGTTGAAGGCAACAAGGTTTCCAAAACTTCCAGCACAGAAATTTTGCTGAATTTTTCTAAAGTGTTGAGTTTGCATAAGAAGACTCTCTTGTCAGAGGGAGACTGTGAATGCAAAAATGTTTTCATCTCAGTGTCATGTTCAAACTGGAAGTCTTTGTGCAGGTTTCTGTGGAACTAGAATTACAAAATAACATGAGCTGGTGTGGTATGAAGAGAGAGCTTGTCATACCTGAGCAGAGAGAAAAGATGATTGCCACCTAATTCAGTTCTCTTGGCCAGCCTGATTTGATGTCTTTGGTGTCAAGCACGGCAAGTTTCCTTCCACAGTTAAACTTCACAATAAATACACACTCCAAAGTGTGTGTTACGCTGTAGCCAGCCTTAGACAAAGTACAGGCCATCAAAATCTCTTCTAATCTCTTTTGATGGCAATTGCCTTAGGAGAAGTCTAGTCCTGAGTCTGTAAATTGCATCCTAGTTGTGTCTGAAGAACTTTTACACGTGTCTTTTTGAACTGTGATTTTACTTCTTTTCTCCAGCTCTTGTGGTGAGTAATGTGAAGTCAAAGATTTCTTTTTCCTGACTGGCTGATATAAATTTGAAGTGAGAGAGGAAAAAGAATGAGTTTCTGTTGTTCAGCTGTGGATGATAAATGTTCCTGCTCAGGTTCTTAACATTTTCAGGGTCTTAGAAATATTTTAATGAATATGTAAGCAGTGATACTTAAAAGAAATACAACCTCATGATTCCTGATGAGTGAAAGAGACATCTTTGCCAATTATTTCTTTTGCTATAGCAAGCATTATGTTTAACACTTCTCTGTATATTTTCTGCTGGACAGAATTAATATGAATGTGTAATTAAAGCGCAGGTCTGGTCTGTGTGTCATAATGGAGAATATGAATGAACAGCCCAAGTTTTAAAAGATGATTGTCCATAAATGCTAGTATTACAGAACTCTGTTGCATGATGTCACACATACATATTAAAAAATACATTGTTCCATGCAGCAGCTTTGAATGCTACTTCTTTTTTTTTCCTTTCTTTTTCAATAGAAGATTGGTATGCACCAGCTGTATCAAAATAAGAAGCGCAATTGGAAGGACAAGTAAAGAGCAAATATTGAATGTTGTAAGAAATTAAAATAACCTATAATTTAATGCAGAATGATTTTCAAATAAGAAAATTAATTAGCAAAAAAATGACCTTCAAAAGAGTTTTCTGCAGAGTTAGTAATGCTCTGTAATACTGTACTAAGAGACAGGCTTGAATATATTATCTTGTAGGCAAAAACGCTGTAAAACCAAAACCAACTTTCTTGTGAAGTGGTACCTGATGTTCCTGAGAATCAACATGCTTTTCTCTTGGTGGTCGTTACCTTAGGAATCTTATAGTACTGAAGAGTTAGTGCTTTTAGTAATTTTATACATCCAGTTATATAATTACTTTTAGTGGTATTTAGAGTAGTAAAGAACAAAATGTGTGTTCAGTATGTTTTCCCTCTGCCCTCTGATTGGCTTTTGTCTCTTTCTTCTGCTTGCTTTCAGTACATTGCTAAGTGTCACTGGTCAAGCAAGAATGGACTCTTGCAGTGGTGACTGATCTTACCCATCACCAGCTCATTGCCTTTCACTCACTCTATATGCAGATACAAAAGAGACCATTGGTATGGTTTCTATTTGCCATTTTAATTTTGATTTATTTTTATTGCAGGAAGGTATGTGCAGATAAAGACTGTTCTTTAAAAACTTGGTGATAGAAATGATGAAAAATCAAAACAAAAATTAAGTTTAAATATATAATGATGTGAAGTTATTCATAGAATGAATGATCATTTAAATGAGTACTGTTTTAGAAACTCAGCTGTGTGCATGTTGATTAGATATATAAACAAAAGGTAGCAATGTCTTTAATTATAATTTCTTGGAATTTGTTTTTGCTTTCCAGCATAAATATGCATGGATCTAGGGTTCATGTTGCTTAGAAATGCCTGTAAGCTTTCTGTCTGCATTTCTGTGTGCATATACAATTGCATGTGCCCTCCAGTCTATCTTGTTTCTTTGAGCCTACTAGCAAAAATTTACAAAAGTGGTGCCATCAGTTTAGGATTAAGTGGAGCAGAACTTGTATCTGCAAAATTAGTCAGCTTTTTTATATTACCCAGTACTTTTATGGAGCAGCGTCTTCTGTGCTCTCTTTGTTAAGGAATTAGTGAGGCACTGCCGTGCCCTGGGGAAACTTGCCAACGCCATCAGCCCATACTGAGATGTGCTGTGGGGACAGAGGGAAGCTGAGTCCCAGAGAAGAGGGATGAGGGGATCTGGGAAGATGCCTGAAGAACATGTATCTCTTGCAGAGGATGGCTGAAAGTCTCTTAGAGCAGTTAATTCAGCTTAAGCAGCTTTTTGGTTTTTAACAGCAAGGATACCCAGATGAGTTTTAAATCAGACTATTTCATTAAATTCACCTAACAGCAGTGATTTATGTGTCCACATGTGAGTATCTCTTTACCAGTGTGTTTCTGGGGACAGTAAAGCTGCATATTACTTAGACACTTGGTCTCAGTTGGCTGTTGATTAGTTGCTGCCTAGATCTCCTAGATTTCATAGATTTAAGGTTACTATATTGAAAAGTAGAATTTGAACATAAATCCTTGTGCTTCCTTTTTTAATAATGTTTCTTCAACCTTTAACAAACAGCCTTGGAGGAGAGTACTGGTGATGACAGAAATGATTCTCTTTTCCTGGCTATAGTACGGGTGGTGTTCGACTGCATTTGGGGGCAGTGGTTTTTGTTACAGCCTCCCCTATTAATGGGGTTGTGACATGGACAAGTTTGCTTCTCTTGTAACTCTCCGTTTGTCACCTCACAGGCTGAAGAGGAAACAGTGGCCTTTCTTGCTCACAGTGGAAGTGAAGAAGAGTTTGATCCAAGCACTCTCCCAGATCCTGATAAATATCCTGACTCTGATGCAGAGCAGGATTCAGAAAGTGAAGACAGCTATAGGTATGCACCATCTTCCATGTTCATTTTAAAATTATATTTTTATATTGCATGTTAAGAATTCATCTTACAGTCCTTTTTCTCATAGGACTTAGTATTTGACTTTTAAAAGTTTGTGTGTTAGGCGCTGAACAGAAATCTCAGCTAAAGACTATTGCTTTCTTCTATGAAGTTGTACAAGAATGATTTTTGAGACAATATTGAAGGGATCTTGGTGAGATTATTTCACATACAAAAATCTTGACTAATACCCTGGAGGTTTCTGTGGTGGGTTTACCCTCTTTGGATGCCTGGTGCCCACCAAAGCCACTCTATCACTGACCTCCTCAGCTTGGCAGGGGAGAGAAAATGTAGTGAGCAGCTCGGGGGTTGAAATAACACCAGGAGAGATTCCTCTACACCAGCTATTGTCACGTGTGAAGCAGTCTCGATTTGTGAAAAAATGCATTTATTTATTACCAATCATGTGACAGTAGGGTAATGAGAAATAAACCTAAATCTTAAAACACCTTATCCCCACATCTTTCTTCTTCCCAGGATTAACTTACAGTTTTTTCTACATCCTCATCCTCAGCAGCACAGAAGGATGGGGAATGAAGGTTGCAGTCTGTTCACATGTTGTTTCTGCCACTCCTTTCTCCTCAGGGGATGATCCTTTCCCTGCTCCCATGTGGGGTCTCTCCCGCAATCTTCTTCAGCTCTTTCCTGTGGGCTGCAAATTAACTATTCCAGTGTGGGTCCCTTCCATGGCATACAGTCCTTCAGGAGCATGTTCCTCCAGTGGGGACTCAAGTCCTGCCAGCAAATGTGAACATGCTCCAGCATGGGCTCCTGTCTCCATGGGGCCACAGGTCCTGCCAGGAGCCTGCTCCAGTGTGGTCTTCCCAAGGGATCACAGCCTTCTGGGGCTCCATGGGCTGCAGGGGCACAGCAGCCTCACCATGGGCTGCTGGGGAATCTCTGCTCTGGCACTGGGAGCACCTCCAGCCCTTCCTTCTGCCCTGACCTTGGCATCTGCAGGGCTGTTTCTCTCACATATTCTCACTGCTCTCCCTGGCTGCTTTTGTGCTGTTTTTTCTCCCCTTCTTAGCTATGCTATCCCAGAGGCACACCTGCTATCACTGATGGGCTCAGCCTTGCCCAGTGGCGGGTCTGTTCTGTTTCAGAAGTGCATTTCTCTTCTGTCACATTGCAGGTTCTTTCTGTGTAGAAGGAAAAATCTTGAAGTAACTTAAGGATTTGATGATCCCTTTGCAGCTGTGCTGTATTAAATAAATTTGTGCATGGTAAAACTTGTTAAATCCTATGATTCAGTATTGTTCAGACTCTTAAAGACTCATGTGGACACTAAGTAGAAGTAATTATACAGTAATAAATTCAATTAAATCAAAACAGTGTTTATAATGGTATGAGCCAGAAGAATTTGTTTCATGTAGTTCAATAAAAAATAAAGAACAGGGTGGGAATGAGGATCTGTAGTTGATGCCGACATACTCTGGGAAGATGAAGGGATACCACATGAAGTCCTGTGTGGGTCACTGCAATAAGAAGGCCACTTGTATGTTTGTGACGAACAATGTATCGTGTAACAGATGGAGAAGGATGATCTTGACACTAAAATGGGAGTATAGATGTCTAATTCATAAAGCTCTTGCTTTTCACATCTGAATTGGGTGAATCCTATGGGCTAGATTGTCCTTATCCGTGTGTCACTGTGTGTTGTGGAGTCAGTATGCAGAACTGGGTGGGGGACATGGATTTAAGGATTAGATAGCCCTGAGTTAGCAGGCTGGTGACCATGTCCCCTGGAGCCTGTTCACCCATGAATGTCAATAGAACTGACAAGGATGGGGAAAAGCATTGCTTTTTCTGAGCAGCAGTAAATCGCTCCTCCTTTGTGCAAGGGGGAGTATGTATTCATACATCATGTTTTGTATTGATCCTTCCCTCAGAATGTCAGCTAGACTCAAGATTAGCTGCGCTTTAAGAATAAAAGTTGACAGAGATGGACAGATTTTTGGCAGTGGTAGTAAGTGCAGACTTTTGTTGGATCAGTGGCTGATCTGGTCCCCCTAGAGTCAGGTCATGTGCTCTTAAGGAGAGCAAAGACTCAAAGAAAGTCAAGGTCCTTGGTTATTTTCCTTTCCTGTGGAGTAGATTAGGAAAGAAAGAACATACATCAAAGGAAACCAGGGAGGTTTCCTTTACTGTATCTCTAGACATAACCTACACCGAGCATCTAAGCTGCCTTTGGAGCTGGAGAACAGACTACTACACATGTTGAAGAAATTTGGTTTCATCAACACTGCTTACTGGAAACAGTCCTTGGCCTGTCCTACTGCACCAAAGTACTGAGACATTGCCCAGAAGAGCTTTAGTTGGCACCATCTGAAATCACAGCAGTTGTGCACAGTCACATGCCAATACTTGTGCCCACACCATGGCCAAATCCACTTAGCCTGTAACAACTTGACTGATATTCCCTGGGCAGGCCATGGCCAGCACAGGATTATCCATCACATGCTGCGCTGTCACTGGAGTCAGCAGTGGTGCTGCCTTCCAACACACCCCGCTCAGGCACCCTGAGAAATAGAAAAGTTGTTTGCAGCTGTTCTAAAGGAGCACTACACTGAGCAGCTTTGAAGCTCAGTGTAGGTATGTCTGGTGAGGTGCTCTGAGCACCCTGTAGAAGGCTTTTGAGAAGGAGCAAGGTGCAGCGGAGGAAATTAATTTGAGGCTGTTAAATCAACACTCATGCCTCATGCAACTCTCTTAGAATTGCTATTGAATTGTATGATGAGTTGCTTTGGGGGCTGGGAAATGTTGACCTAATGGTTTTAACAAAAACAAATCAGCTGAGAGCAGCAGACAGAAAAATTGGGCTTTGAGATTAGGAAATGCAAATTATTCTGTTTTCTATTTCTAAAATCCAGATATTTTGCTCGAAGAGTTGGATTCAGATAGAAATAAGCTGGGCTACACTAGCTGCTCCTTGCTTTAAGGGGGGAAAAATTGCTTCTAAAAGGGATAATTCATAGTAAGTATGAGACCTTGGGTGTCTTCCTTCAAGAGTCTTTAAAAAATAGACCACCTGTCCATGGTTTCAGGAGTCAAAACCATTGTTAATCTTCTCTGTCCTCCCACAGAATTTTTTTTTAAATGGAGGAGCTGTACAAATCATGAGTTAAATTTGCCTTTGCATAAAAAGTCCCTTCCAGCCATACCTTTACAAGCAGAGTAATTAATGACTTCAAGCATGTAATATGAGATTAATTTTTGTATATCTAGCAACATTCATCATATTTGGTTTAAGGCTATCAAATGTAAATTGTTAATGAGGTGAAAAATCTAAGAATATAGAACAAGGCAAAAAAAAGTAGCTATATTTCTTAAATATTCATTTTGCAGTCACATTGAGTTTTTGCTATTTCTAATTTCTCAACCTCTTTAAATAAAAAAAAAAGACCAAAAAAAAATTGGGCCAAAGTTCCGATTGACCTCATCATTATCTTCTTAAATCTTTAATGGATATGACTGATCACATTAACTCCTAGATCAACATGGAGAGAATCTTGGGCACGAGGGGAAATATCTTTGTTCTGGTACTGTTTTGTTTGTGACTTTATGGACAGTTGCCAGGTGACAAGTGTGCAAGTTAGTAGCCAGTGGTACTTTGTTGTGTGCTTTCCTTTATTTATTAAAATTATGGGCAAATTGCAGTTTCTTACAGCTTCTTCTTACAGCAGGATGCTGATATGGACATGCTAAGTTTTAGGTCATTCTTGATGACATTGACATTACATTGTCTTTTGAGATGATTTATCTCAATCATGGTGCTCCTTCTAAAATGGATTATTCAGGTCATATCTGTGACTTTGTGAAGGCCAGAACTTAATGTTGTGATGGCCAGAGAAGTACCATAGGAGAGACATTATAAAAAGTCTCAGTTTAAAAGCCTTGGTCATACTGATTAGCTGCAAAATCGGACATTGAGATATTGAATTGTTCTTGACAGAGGCTTATATATTCAGTTTTAGAGGTGTTTTGATTTATATCAGTGGAATGGCCAGTAGGGGAATCATAGAGTCAATTAGGGTGAAAAGGACTTCTAAGATTGAACCGTTAACCCAGCACTGCCAAGTCCCACTAAACCATGTCCTTAAGGGTCACATCTACAAGTCTTTTAAATACCTCCAGGAATGGTGACTTCATCACCTCCCTGGACAACCTGTTCCAGGGCTTGACAACAAGCCTTTTGGTGAAGAAATATTTCCTGTTATCCAACCTAAACCTCTGCTGGTGTAACTTGAGGCTGTCTCCTCTTGTCCCTATCACTTGTTCCCTGGCAGAAGAGGCTGACCCCACCTGGCTGCACCCTCCTTTCAGGCAGTTCCAGAGAGTGATGAGGTCCCCCCTGAGGCTCCTTTTCTCCAGGCTAAACACCCCCAGCTCCCTCAGCTGCTCCTCACAGCACTTGTGCCCCAGAGCCTTCCCCAGCTCCGCTGCCCTTCTCTGGACACGCTCCAGCCCCTCAATGTCTTTCTTGCACTGAGGGGCCCAGAACTGAGCACAGCATTTGAGGTGTGGCCTCAGCAGTGCCGAGTGCAGGGGGACGGTCACTGCCCTGCTCCTGCTGGCCACACCACTGCTGATCCAGGCCAGGATGCCATCGGCCTTCTTGGGCACACCCTGGATCATGCTTAACCACTGCTGACCAGCACTTCCAGGCCCTTTTCTGCTGGGCAGCTTCCCAGCCACTGCCCCCAGCCTGTAGCACTGCTTGGGGTTGTTGTGACTGAGGTGCAGGACCCAACCTTGGCCTTGTTGAAACTCCTAGAGGTGGCTTCAGCCCATTGATCCAGCTTGTCCAGATCTAGAAAATAACACAGGACAATATATTTTAATTACCATTTTTATGTGCTGTGGCATTCTGACAGCAGGTAAGGAAGAAGCTGCACTGGGCTTTATGGAAGGGACTGCAGTAATTAATCTTCATTAGGATTGCTGCCATGGCCTTGTGAATTAAAATTTATTACATGGAAAAAGGTTTGGGCACAGCATGTTTGATTAGCAAAATGCCAATATTTATGGGATAAATTATTCCTACCTTTTCTGAACTGTATTTTACTAGCAGATTCATTCATTATTCCTGTACATTTCTTTGGGAAAGAGCCTGTGTGTTTTATTGCAGCCTGGAAACTTGACTCATGCCCTGTAGTTCAGTGGCAAGGGTGGTTTGTTACCAGAGGAAAGCTAGTAAAACTCTGCTGCAAAGCATTCTCTGATAAATGTTAAGTGAAGCAGAGCCTGTCTAAAGATCTTGCCAGAACCACGTTGTTTAAACAGCAGCAACTTGGCTGTGTGACTGCACATTTCAAATGGCTGTTTCTCAAGCATTTAAAATCTAAACCTTACAGCTTGTTAAAAAATTAACATTGCTTAAAGCCCAGAAGCGAGTTACATACTAACAATTAAAGCTTTATATTTTTTCCCTGGCATTACCTGAAAACATAATACTGAGTTTATTTTGTAGTAGTTTAAGAGTTTCTTGGTGTATAGCTATCAGGGTCATAGTTAGAGCCCATTTTCCAGATGCCATTCAGATATGCAGGCATTTGTTTCAGGGACAGGATTCATAAACTGTACTTTAATGTTTGAATAATAAATATTTTCTACCAACTGATAGCATATTTCTTAGGTGTTACAGCTGTGCAAATAGTGGCCACAGAAATTACTGTGCCTGTTGATAAGTTGGCTGTTGGTAGCTCCTCACCTGTGTAAACACAAAGTAAATCCTTTGATCAGGCAGCCTCAGACTGCATGGATTGTTCAGGCAGCTGAAAAGCTAAATTTCACCAGATGGTAAAAGGAAGGAATTGTAAACCAGATGCACATGCCACTTTTGAAATGTTATTAGTAGAAGACAAAAAGATGCACTGGCCTTGGTTTGGATCTGAATTGGGGGTTGCTTTCTGACTGAGTTGTTCTGCTAGAATCTACCTTAGCATATCTTTGTTTTGGCTGTTTGTGAACACTAGCTGGTAGTACATCAGTTTGTGACGAATGAGGGGCCATTTGTGTCCATGGGAAACGATAAAAGGACTGGCTCTGCAGGGTGACAGGCCTTCAATTAATGGAGGAGGAATTCATTTGACAGTAAGTGCAGAAATTATTCCCATATAGCTGCTTTTGCACACTCAGTCCTTTCACATGTGGAACCAAGAGTTATGCTTGTTACAACTCCATCAAAGAGCTTTCTGTCCCTACAGCTAAGGAAAAGCAACCTGAATGAGCACAGGATATCTCTGAGCATCATGATGCCTCACATTTTTCATCTCCCTTTTAAAATTGCCATTATCACCTTTTGTAAAAGCTACAACTCAGACAGCTCCTTCAGAGTAGTACAGACCCTTTCCACACCACCGAAACCCACGCTGGTAAAAATCCATCCTGGAGGAACAGGGATGGGGGTTGGACTTGCTGTTCCTCAAAGGCCCTAGATCATTCTATGGATAGTCAGTCTGTATTTCTTCTGCTCCTCAAAATTAGAAACATCTTACTTGCACATTTCACACGATTCTCTGTTTACCTTCCAAAGCTGTTGTTACCAAATACTGTTTTGTATCTACTTTTTGTGCATCACAAAAACACAACTATTTAGCTCTCTTTATTGCTTGTTGGTTTTGCTGCTGCTTCTGGTGTTATACATTCCTCTTCATTCACCTCTCCAGTTCACAGCCCAGCTGGGGTCAAATTAGTGTGAGAATACACTTGCCTATGTGTAGATGCATCTTCTGTTTACACTGCTAATCAAGCTGCACAATCCCTTAGTAAGAAGCAGCTTGACTCAGCAGACTCATCCCACAAAACTTAGGATGAAAATTAATCATAATTGTGTTGATGTGCTTTTGTTTGTGGAAAAAATTGAGGAAACTCACAGTTCAGTTCCTTCTGAATGTGTTCTATATTTAAATGTTTTATCTTATAGATATCTAGGCCTGTGGGCCTCTGAAACTCCAGAAGTGATTATAATTTTTGGTGTTTAAAGTCTGCTGTTTCATAGCTTGTAGGTACAAATGCATAGCTTGTGAGGTTTCTGCAGTGTTTTAATTGCTACGATGTTTTTAACTAATGTCCTAGATGAAGCATTAGTCAATTATGAATGCAAACTGGGCTTCAGAGTCCATTCAAAGACTGGAAATAATTAGCTCTTTTGCAAACAAGCTAAAATGCTTTTACTTAATGAGGCCTTTCTTGCGCTTTTAAAGTGAACCCCTGTAGTCTGTCCTGATCAAAGTGAACACCATGAAACTCCAGCCCAGACCCACACTGTCCACTTGGAAAAGTGAGAATTCTTTATGCTTCAGTATATTTTCATGTACTGTCAGTATGGCTTCAGCATTTATGGAATATCTTAGAGCCACTACAGAGAAAAACATGAGAGTCCTTTCCCCAGAAAAGGAGTAAAATGTTGGTTGCAAGCCCTGAAAAGCCACCCCCATGTAAATGATAGCTCAAAGGCAGCAAAATTGCTATATCCTGTGAATTATAGGAAAAGTGAGTATTTGGGGCAGTCATCATCTATTCATGGAATCACTGAATGTTTTTGGTTGGAAGGGACCTTCTGTGTCATCTAGGTCCAGGACACCTTCCACTAGACCATGTTTCTTTACACTGTTTCTCTTGGGTAGGCAGGGAAGTACAACATAAAGGTAGGGTATTTCATTTACCTTTATTGTGGAAATGCAGGGTGTTTCTTACAGGATTTCCCTCCTTCCTCTGGGCTATAATGAGTAGGCAGAAGGTGGCACTGTTTTTTGACAGGTGGGATGGACGAGAAAGGGAGGCAGGTCATACTTGTGCAGCCCACCAGGCTGTCAGATGTCCTGTAATAATTCCTTCTCTATGGAGGGACAGCCAGAAAGCGCAGTGTACAAGCTGCATTGTGCTGCTGATCCCTCTCCAAGAGCACTTGGGAACTTGCTGAAAGCTGCCATGTTTGGGGTTAATGTTTGGGTTAGCCTGGTGTCCAGTGAGTGCTGAAACTGAGACTGTTAATTAGTCCTAGTAATGGAAAAAAAAATAAGGTGGGCAGCTGAAGGTGGGTTGAATTGGGCATTGGGTTCCTTTGCTGTGTTGATTCTCAGGACAGTATTCCCCAGTTAGAGCTATTTATTGTAACTGCTGCTTCTAATTGTTAAGTGTCTAAACAGTGTTTCTGAATGGAACATTTCACAAGCATTATATTTACACTTATGCAATTGTAAAAGTTTTGGACATGAAAAAATTCTCGTTGAAACTTTTATGTAAGGAAACTGAATTTTCTGAGTAGAAATTTGGCAAATGTTAATTGAAAATCTGAATTTAACCGACTTTTTTAGAAAAGCCTTCACTCTGTTTTTGAAGTTCCATTTCTATTTTTGTTATGTTTTAAAAAATACAGACATGAAAAGCTGAGAATGGTGTCTTGTTCCAGTTAGCTTGTTTGGATGGAAGGTTTGAAGTATGAGGGCTTGCATTTTACTAGTTTGAGGGTATGAATTCTACCCTACAGTGTACAACAGCCAGCTCTCCATAATCTGGTTCACAGATATATCTTAGAACAGATTTTATTAGATTGTTTTAAACTTAGATAAGAACATTTTTAGCATGTTTTCTGTGTTTTGGACAAAAAACACATGAAGATGCATGTAAGCTCTGTCCTACCTCCCATTGTTGTCACATGGGCATATGGTAGAAGCCAGATGAAACAGATTGGCAGCTGTTTCATCCAGATTGAAGGCTGCAAAAGGCAGCATCGAGTCTTTTAAAAAAACAGCAGAAGAAATAGGAATTCACTAGGGAAAATGACTGGGTTTGGGCTTTTCCTCTCGTGGCAAAGAGGTGTTTAGTAGCTTCCAAGGGAAATACCTCAAAGAAGGGGAAAGAGTGATCAAATGAGATAGTCTCAGATCAAAACAGTATTAAGTGTAGGATTTGCCAGTCAAAGGACAGTTCTGTTATTTTTGGTGCGTATTTATTGTAGGCAAGATCTTGAATGCATGTCAAGGTCCACTGACACATCACTAAATCAGTTTTGTCAAGTTGTCTGTTGCTGTGTTAGGCAGCAAATATTAGATAAGACTTATAGCAATATCTTGATACAATGTAATCAATTAAGACAGCAGAACATCCACCACCACCACCTCAGTCTGAGAACAGCTCTAATTTAGACATTCAGAGTTTATCAGCTTCCATTGCTTTACCCTTCTGAATTGTAATTTTGTTTGCTCTTATCTTGACACAAATTTGCCTTGTTTAAAAAGAATTGTTAGATTACATGATGATATTGATTACCACAGTTGTTAAAAAGACTAATTGATTTTTTTCTGCAGTGAACTTGAGGAGAAGACTGGAAGAAAGAGGAGAAGCTATAACAACAGTGTCACAGCAGAAGAAATGCCACTGAAAAGAAAGAAGCAATTCAGCCAAGAGGAGGACCCCTGTTTGCCATTAGATACTGGGCTTTCTCTGGCAGAGGATGAAGAGCTTGTACTACATCTGCTCAACAGTCACAACTAATTATTTTTCTGCAGGTTTTCTTTCCTGAGACATTTCCACAATTTTGTCAGTAGTTTACACAAAATGAATTTGGCATCTGGGCAGCTGGGTACCAGTGAATGTAGATAAATGAGTTCCAGATGCAGTGGGATTGCCTTAGATTGGCTCATAGGTTATAGACAATATTTAGTTTGATTTATAAGGCTTTCTAAATGAACTTTTCAACCTAAATCCCCAGGTGTAATTTTGCAGTAGCATGTTCATAATTTTAAATCTCCAAGTTTTGAAACAGTTATTTTATTTTCATCTTGCTTAACTGAAAACAGGATGTTCCTTTTGTGACTATGCCAGGTTTGTTATTTTGGAAGATATACATTTTTAAGGAAAAAATACTGTTGGCAGCTCAGATCATATTTAAAAATAAAGTATGTACTTTCTTCTGTGTATAATGCACATATTTTAAGAATATTTTAATAAAAATTTCTAGAGCCTTGTTGTAAACTTAATGGTGTCTCAGCTTTGTTATGAAAGCATATATTTATCCTTCAGGTATCATTTCTGTTATGATTCTGTCACTGGTGTTAGGCAATTCAGAAAACAACTTTTAAAATCTAAAAACTGAGTCTTGTGTTTGAATCCCATACGAATGAGAACATGTTGTCTCATAGTTGCATCTGTTTGGTCTTTCCATATCAACATATTAAATACTCCTTTTTTGTCAGTATAATTTTTTTTTTTTTTGTCACAGGAATCTGTCATCACCTATTCAGTACAACCCTTTCCTCTTCTCCCTGTACTCTATGCTGTCTTTTAGCTCACTTACCCCAAACTGAAAATATACTGCAAATTCTTGCCTCCAAATGTTTCTTCACTGTTCTGCCAGCAGGCAGGGTATCATAAAAACAATATTATAGGCAGAGCACATCTGCCATCTGCTCCTTCCTGACAATGTGGATTGAGAAGAAATGACTGAGTTTCACAAACAGCTAAACATGAAAGATGGGATCTGCTTGGCAGCTGATGTACAGTGTTTGTTTAGTCTACAGTGCCACAGTGGGCCTTGAAAATGTTGTGATCTGGGACCAGCATCACTGATGAATCTGTTAATGAAGAAGGATCTGCTGTGGTGCCGCTGTGACTGGTGCACGTGTCCCGTGTGCCATCGTGTGAATGGCTGCAGTGAATGTAATGAGCAGCCTCAGCAAATATCTGTCTGTGCTGGGATAGCAGAGCTCCTGCTCCTGTAGCTGTGGAGGAAGGCAGAAAACTGCAGTGCAGAGGGCTCCACCAGCAGAAAGCTGCTCAAGGATGATATGGTATGGATATGGATGACAATGCATACAGTGGTGTGTACTTTGAGATATTCACACATTCATAGTGTACTTGGTGGTGGTCAGTTGTCTTGTACATCACCTGATGTCTCTCAAATCAAAGCTTTGCTCTAAGAAGCATGAATACTTGCTGTTGAGGCAAGCAAGTAAAAATCCAAAAGACTTACTGTTTCTGACTAGAATATTCGTATTTATATGCTGAAGTGGGAGAGAAATATTCTTATCTACTGAACAGTAAGACTAAAAATTAAATTATATATGTTGGAAGGATTGTGGTGCACTTCTTATCTTGTGATAATTTTTTGTCTGCATAAAAATAATTTTTCAAGTCCTTTTACTTTTGTATTTTTGGATAATGAAGTTTCTAATGTATTTGTGTTGTTTGATATAGAGACAGTGTTTCTTGAATCCTTAGGGAGTTAACTTGCTTGGAGCAGAAGTAAGTTGCTTTACTTCCTTGAAATAGAATCCCATCTACTTCAAATGTGTCTGTCCTTGAGGCAATGGTGTGCATATAAAAATGAAGCCATGTGAAAAAGAGGAGGGAAGGGGATTAAGGCAGATGCTCCATGCCACGAGTGTGTGTAAGAACAGGTAACTGCTGCATATGCTAGAAGTAGTAAGACAAAAAATCCAGCATTCAGCATTTTTGGGAAGCAGCTGTGGTCCTGTGAGCTGTAGATCTGCTTTAATGGGCTTCTTGCCAGCCCTGCTTCTAGCAATGTTTTTCTGGTCTAAGAAAAGCACAAATAGACAAAACATGCCAGTCTCAGGACTCACTTGACTGAAGGGTGTTTTCCAGGGAGCTTGCTTCAACTCACACCCAGGGACATCTCAATCTGATGCTGAAAAACTTGGCTTGTGTGTCCAGAGCTAATGGGCAGGAGGAGCAGACCTAGTTGGGCATGCCACCCATCATCTATCTCCTTTTCTCCTGGTCCCAGAAGTGCCGCTGTAGCATCAGAATAAATTCCAAGCTTTTGCAAGGTTGCATTTCATAAGCATTATAGTCCCAGCTTTACATGGGAGAAGTGGAAGCAGGGAAATCATAGCAAAGACTTCCTTGGTAACTTTATGTAGTTGATCTACAACTCCTAAATCGCTTGTGATTTATCAAGAGCAGCCTCCCACTTGACATCTGAACTGCCTTCTGTGCAGAATTGTAACTTTCAGGTGTTGCACTGTCTGCCTGGATGGGTTTCAGGCTTCTTCACCCTTGTAAGTTGCCACCTATGGAAAACCCCCTTTGGAGGCTCCTTCAGGAGGGGTGGAAAACGCGTGAGTAAGATGCTGAGTGTTTTTCAAGGCCATTGGCCAGGAGACATTCTTGAACTGCCGAGCAGGAAGTCTTGTTTCAAATAATGCCTTTTCAGATCAGTTTGCATTTGTATATTATATTAATAGTGGTTGATTTCCTTCTGCTGCTAAAATGGTTCTAGTGTGTTGATTTATAGCTGGGTATAGCATTAAGATCTATTACATGCAGCTAACTCTGAAGATACACATTAGGCATTTATGTAATGAATGGCACAGTTTAGTTGGCTTTTCTTCAGAATAAACTTTCCTCTTTGTTGTGTACAAAATAATGAAGACATTTGTTTGCCAGATAATTTATTACAATTTGTTTGAAGCCTCTGGATAAAAACTGGAAGTCAGGTGAAAGTCAGGAGAGCATTGAAGGGTTTGGGTTTTTTAGATCAGGTGAATAGACTGACACTAGATGTGCTAGCTACTGAAGATACCCAGCTTGCAGTATTTTCTTGAGGCACATAAAATGTGTCATAGCAGAGGTAGTGTTAACCTCAGCATCATAGAAGTTTCTGATCAGTGTTCACTTTTTAAAGACCTTACTGATGCTGCACATTCAATTGTGTGAAGATGATAAGAAATTTAGGCTCTAACATAAGGGATTGCAAATTAATATTAAACATTTTAAATGGGTATGTTTCCTTAAATATTATATGAATAGAAATAAAGAAATAATTCCTCCTGCAACTGACTGAGTTCAGCTGGAGCATTGATTGGTGTGTCCTGCCGTCTGGCCGTACTCATAAAGAGAGAGAAATGCCTGAAGCAAAACATTAAAAAACAGAGAACTGTGGTAGAGAACATTCAATTCAGACTATAAAACACAGTACAAGATCTGAAGATACCGAAGTGACCCTGTGGGTTCCTGTAATCCTGGATATATATGACTAAACTGATACTAAATACAAAAAGAAAATGTCTCTTAGTAAAGGCTGCTAATGGGGATTTTTCTTTATCGTGCTGCTCTCTAGTTTGACCTGATTGATGCTTATATTCTGTGAGAGATGGAGTATGCTCAGGGATGCTGAGCTGTGGTAGGCTGCAGCTGCTGCAGAAATGCACTGTGGCACAGGGTGTTACTGCTTTTACGCTGCAGGTCACTGCCCCGGCTGTGACCTTCCTGTGGCAAATAACTTGAGGTTTAAAATAAGCTGTTTGGTCCTGTCCTGTCCTGTCCTGTCCTGTCCTGTCCTGTCCTGTCCTGTCCTGTCCTGTCCTGTCCTGTCCTGTCCTGTCCTGTCCTGTCCTGTCCTGTCCTGTCCTGTCCTGTCCTGGAAGGGATGATTCCTTATGCTGCCCATTTTGGGAACTGGGCAGAAGGCTGGTGACAGGCAGCTGAAGGACAGTAGCTCTTGTGCAGCAGCCACTTCTGTTGTTAATTTGATAGGGACCCTGCACAGAGTGGAGCCAGACCTTGCACCCAGCGTGCTTCAAGCTACAAGATTCCGAACACAGTTATGGTAACTCCAAGGGACATACAATTTTAAATAAACAGTTCTAGTGAGAAAAGACAATTACCTTCACTTCAGGACCACATTTCATTAGATTTAGTTGTTATATTGCTCTCTTCTCTGGTGTTTGTAGCTCATCTGAATTTTGTCTTATCCTTCCAAATGGATGGTTTATTCTCAGAAGCATCTGCAAATTTTATCTTTAAAGGTGGAGCTAGATGCCAGAAAAATGGATTGCCATCATCTTTGTAAGTCATAAATTGCTATCAAGGCATTAGTTTGTGCCATGTGGACATTTTACAATAAAGCAGTGCACACTTTTATAAGGAAATGCTCTCCCAACTTGAAAGACAAATCAGTCAGTCAAAATCATCAAGGAATTAGAAAGCCTAATGCAGAAAAAGATTCTTTTCAGGTCTGTTAGGAGGTATTGCTATGATTAAATCAGTAGAGAGAAGTTGATCTGTTCCAAGAATGCCTTGTTCATTGCCTGTTTTTGTCCATGTCTGGCCAGAAGCCATTTTTCACAAAGAAAACTATTCATCAGATTCAGTCATGTAAAAATGATTGCTTAAATTACACTGGGCTATCAGCTAGCAGCTTTACCCAGGAGTGGAATCTCTTGGGTCAATGCTATCTGTAAATTTTGCACTTTGTCTGAGATGTGCTTTGTCTATAAAATGTAGATAAGTTTAATTAAACTAAATTAGTTTTGTTGAGCAGTTTTTGAAATCCTTTCGAGCCGAGAAGTAGCTGTGCTGAGATTTCAGCTGCACTAAGAGGAATCTAATGAGCATTGTTCTCCTAATCACGTATGGGGTCCTGGAGGAAGATAAAATTCCTGGCTGTGGCTTCTCTGGGACTACAGGAGTCCTCTCTGTCATGCACAGCTTGTCCCTCTGATGCTAAAGCTAAGCTTCTATAAAAAAAG